GTCTCTTGTAAGAATAATAAACTACAGTTTCAGACATGTTTCCCTGGCTCATCTTAGTTCACCTCATTTATAAGTATAAATTTACATGAAAATGAAAAAAAACTCTGCCATTAAAAATACACACATATATACACACACAAACAGGAATTATGAAGTAATAAGCTGATAAAAGTTCTTTTAATGATGATTATCTGTTCTCTTTGAGATTCTATTTTTTATTTTAATTTAGAAAGATACACTTTAAAATAAATAATCTTCCATCTATAACTTCCATGGTTTAATTTAAGTATTCAAAACCTAAAATATGCAGGAAGTAGCTCAAAATGGTATATAAAGCACAGAGTCTAAATAAGTTTAGAAAACTGAATTAAAATTAGAAAATCAGGTACCAACAACAGTTCTTTTCATAGCACCTGGTGCATAGTACACATTTAATAAATATTCTTAATGAACGAAGGAAGGAATGAGTAAATGATGAATATAAAAGAATTGTCTTCTCATATTTGCTAAATAACCTGAAATCTATGTTTAAAACATAGGATATAGTTGATGAAAAATCTGATTAATCATTCTGATAAATAATATTTCTTAAATCACATCAGTTTACTCAAAGCCTAACCTGGTACCATAGCCTTGAATTTTAAACTCATCGCTGCCAGTAAATGGCCTTCAAATCCTAAATTTAGGTGATCTTGCAGGGTTCCTTCTGCTTTAAAATGCTCATCATATAATTTCCAAAGTAAAAAAGAACTGAAATCGACTCTTTGGACTTTTGTTAAATAACACATTCATATCTATACTTATTAGACATTAATATTCCCAAAGGTATATGAGTTGACTTGTCACTAAGTAATGACAATATAGTATTTTTGATAACTGTCTTTCTTACATATTAATTTTCTGTAATTTAGAAACTCCTGAGTTTATTTCAAAGCTTAACCTTAACTACCTGATTTCCTGATGAGGAATCAACCTCAGTTTGTTCATCTATAAAAGTGCTATTGTGAGGATTAAAAGAGTTAATAAATGGAGAATGATTAGGAAGTCCCTGGTGATCAATAAATATTGTTATTATTGTAATTAGTGGCTACTAAGTAATCTTCTAAATTTTAAAAATACTTCTAAATTCTAATAGATAGTGAGGCAGAATATATTTTTAAAAGGGCCTAGCATAGTGCCTGGCATACAATTACATTCTTAAAAAAAAAAAAAAAAATCACCTTATAGCACCAGATGTCAGTAGAAGTCATACCAATGAGACAAAAAAGCATAACTTAAGAATCAAATGTTGAGCTTCAATATTAAAAATATTACTTACAAATTTGCTTATTTTCCTTTGGTAACTGAATTCTGTTTGTTTGGCTGCTGCCTTCTAGGACAAACACAAAACTTTTAACTTCTTTGTCAAACTCCTAGAGAACAAAATAAAAACAGTGGTAATCAAAGCATATTTTATTTGGCTTCTACTATAAAACTGGAACTACAAATCCACAGGAAAAAAGTCCCACATTCAAATGACTTAAAAGTAGGCTCAGGCCTTAATACGCCTATCCTGAGACCTGCTAGGAACCACAATACAGAGGCATCGTAAAAAGACAGGAAACAAGGGCATTCAAGGTTTTGACCGAAAAGTGGTTGAAATCATGAACTTGGATCGTGAGCTGGAGAGAAAGGAAGTTAAGACAGAAAAAATAAAACTAAACACAGGGGAAAGTAGAATAATTAATGTCCTGAAGGTTCCAATTAGATTGAATAACATAGTAGGAGTAAATAAGCAAGAGGAACTTAAGAATCAAAGACTGGGATCAGAGAGGGATGTCTCAATGTCTCACAGTAATTTCGGAGGTCCTGCAGCTTGTGGTGATGAGGTCAAGGGTGTGACAGTGGGAATAAATGTTTAGGTAGAGTAGAAAAGGTCATTAAAGATAAAGAAATCAAGAAACTAAGAAACTCAGGCCTTGGAGAGATTTTCCTCACAGATATTGAAGTCACATTTGGAGTGCAGAGAAGGATTATGAGCCCTGCAGGCCTTGGAGAGATTTTCCTCACAGATATTGAAGTCACATTTGGAGTGCAGAGAAGGATTTGGAGTGCAGAGAAGGATTATGAGCCCTATGCCAAAGTCTTAAACAACTGAGGGATATTGCCTAAGAGGGCTGCAGCCAACAATGTCATGAAAGGGTTTTAGAGTGAAAGAACAGGAAAAATAGTTTTGAAACCTCATCAAGCTCTTTTTTTTTTTTTCTATAACCTTTATTAACATTTCTTTCCAGGATTTATGTGGCTCTAATTTCTAACACTTACTTTCCAAATGACAGATGGACTGCCAAGGATCTTCCATTTTGCTCCAGGATTTTTTCCCTGAGCACTAAAGATTTCAACAAATGCACCTCCCTAAAAAATAAAAACAAAATATTTAAATTAAAATGAAAGACAATGCCAAGGAGGAAATATTATCCTTCACATAGTCTATAACCAGTGTTCCAGGCATCTGTCAGTTAAATAGATCTGGGAGGAAACATTATCCCTGTTATTACTCCTACTTTATACCTTGATTATATCTAAGCCACAACCATTTTCATTCGGGTCACCTTGGATTAATGGTTTAAGAAATGTATTTTTAAAGCATGATAAACATTAAATAAATTGTGCCATACAGACCTTACAATCTCTCAGTGTGGGGCTCATTTACTTGACATGTACAGATCATTCTTGCAAAAATTCTATGCAACCCAGACTAAAGGGTTTAAACTCAATTCTCAAAACAAGTCAATAAATTCTGATAATTATCTCTGAATACAAGCTTTCTAGTTATACTGATCACAGTTCCAACACTGGCTTTTTATCTATCTGACCTTGGAGTTACTTAACTTCTTGATTCTCCATCTGTAAAATAAATTGTTGGATTACACAGGATATAGTAAACCCAACCATCAAGCACAATACTTGGCTCTTAGCAAGGGCTCAATACTGCCATCAAAGATCATTCAAAAAACAGTAAATTAAATAGTTTAGAACTGGTCAATAAAAAGGTCTAGGAAGGATTCAGGAGGAATTCTTATTTTTGCATTCCTACAAGGTGTTTTCATATATTTAATAAAAATTAATTTGGAGATCTATAAAATATGTACAAGAAAAATTGAGAATCATTTCTGTAGATAGGCTACTTGTTCCCATTGTAAACCTGAAAACATGGAGGGATACACTTATGTAAAAACACCAAAGATATTACTGAATGTATATAGGCTTTAATTATAAAAAAGGGGAATTAAAACAAGATGATTATCTCTGAGGAAAGATTTATTACAAAAATTGAGAATCTGAAATGAAGACTAAATATGATTTGAATTATAAGCAACACACAAGTAAATCTGATTTTTGTGAAGAAATTTTAATTTTTTTCAATAATATAAAGATATTTTCACTTCTGAGTTTTAACATGTTAATCACCTGAAGTTAAAACATTTTATTTCTTCTTCCTTATGCAGTATCATATGCAAACAGTATATGGGATAGAATTACTATAGCTTCTAAGGACAGGGCATATTTCACTCTGAATTTTAAATTTGAAACGATGGTTTTTTTTTTTTAAGAGAAAAATTTTTATATTTGGTAAGATAGCCAACTTTTTCTCCCCCACTTCTTTTTGCTTTCCCAGTTTCCTGCTGTGGAAATATGCTTTTTTATAACAATATACTTCACCCATATAAAGTGAGATAAACTCTAAAATTGTTCTAACCCATTNGAGAATCATTTCTGTAGATAGGCTACTTGTTCCCATTGTAAACCTGAAAACATGGAGGGATACACTTATGTAAAAACACCAAAGATATTACTGAATGTATATAGGCTTTAATTATAAAAAAGGGGAATTAAAACAAGATGATTATCTCTGAGGAAAGATTTATTACAAAAATTGAGAATCTGAAATGAAGACTAAATATGATTTGAATTATAAGCAACACACAAGTAAATCTGATTTTTGTGAAGAAATTTTAATTTTTTTCAATAATATAAAGATATTTTCACTTCTGAGTTTTAACATGTTAATCACTTGAAGTTAAAACATTTTATTTCTTCTTCCTTATGCAGTATCATATGCAAACAGTATATGGGATAGAATTACTATAGCTTCTAAGGACAGGGCATATTTCACTCTGAATTTTAAATTTGAAACGATGGTTTTTTTTTTTTAAGAGAAAAATTTTTATATTTGGTAAGATAGCCAACTTTTTCTCCCCCACTTCTTTTTGCTTTCCCAGTTTCCTGCTGTGGAAATATGCTTTTTTATAACAATATACTTCACCCATATAAAGTGAGATAAACTCTAAAATTGTTCTAACCCATTTAATGATATCAAATGGGATAGAAAAGAGAATTGTAGAATACTCGGAGAACACTCATAAGGAGGCAGGTAGTGATTCATGAAAGGGTACAAGCAACAGAGAGTGGAGACCAGTGAAGGGCTGTTTAGGCCCAGTCGAAAAAGTTCATCATAACAGCAGCATGGTAAACAGACTGTAAATGGGAGGTGTAACCTCAAGCAGAGTTGAGGAGGAAAGAGCAGGAGGCTAGGTCCAAGCAAGAGGAAGAAGAGAGATGCCCAGCTAGGTGATGAATCCAGGTCATGCATGGAGACACTCTAGGATACTCAAGGTAACTGAGGAAGACCCAGAAACAATGTTTCTCCAAGTGTGATCCCTTGGACCACCTGCATCAGAACCACTTGGGGCGTGTTGTTAAAAAGGTAAATTAACTGACCCCATCTACAAAGATTCTGCTTCACTAGATCTGGGGTGAAGGTCAGGAAATCTTCATTTTTACACGCACTCCAAGTGATCCTGACGTACCTCAATGTTGAAGATTCCATGTTTAAGATTTCCAAAACTGACCCCCAGTTTTGGAAAAGAAAATAGCAAGTGTTTATTTTCGTTCTTGGCTTAACCCATTCATGCATTCATTCATTCATTCACTCTTCTAAACAGTTTCTGAGATATCAGTGTGTTATCAATAGTGAGTACCCCAGGCACCTGTTAAAATGCAAAATTTCTGGGCCCTGCCCTCAATGTTCTGATTCGGGAAGTCTGGATGCGGTTGAAGATTTGCATTTTAATCAGAACCATAGGCAATTCACACATCTCGAGAATCCCTGAGCTGGGGAGTGAAGAAAAGCCAAATCATACGCCTAGACCTTCGTTGCTTTTTTGCCCCCCACTTTCTGTCCCGGGATCACTCATCTATTAATTCCTTCTTACCCCGTATTTGGGGTTGGGGTGGGGGTGGGGGGGAAGAGGTAGCAGGAAGCGCTTTATCCACACCCTGATCACGAGCTACCTCACCCGAAGAGAAAGCTATAGACACGTTGGAGAACCGTTTCGGGTTACCTGGTACTCATTTTTGAACATTCCCGCAGGGGTCCCGGGGCTTGGGGGGCACACACAGTTCAGGGCTTCCAGCGAGTGCCGTGACCCTGACGGCTGGAAATCGGCGGGCGGGAACGCCGGAGCCCGGCGGGCGGGAACGCCGGAGCCCGGCGGGCGGGAACGCCGGAGCCCGGCGGGCGGGAACGCCGGAGCCCGGCGGGCGGGAACGCCGGAGCCCGGCGGGCGGGAACGCCGGAGCCCGGCGGGCGGGAACGCCGGAGCCCGGCGGGCGGGAACGCCGGAGCCCGGCGGGCGGGAACGCCGGAGCCCGGCGGGCGGGAACGCCGGAGCCCGGCGGGCGGGAACGCCGGAGCCCGGCGGGCGGGAACGCCGGAGCCCGGCGGGCGGGAACGCCGGAGCCCGGCGGGCGGGAACGCCGGAGCCCGGCGGGCGGGAACGCCGGAGCCCGGCGGGCGGGAACGCCGGAGCCCGGCGGGCGGGAACGCCGGAGCCCGACGGGCGGGGAAAGGGTTTCGTGCTTGGCCCCGACTCGGGCAGGCTCTTCTCCGCCCCTACGGCCCCTGCTCAGCCCCACCTCTGGCCCCGACCGGCACCATCGCGGCCGCCGCCTCCGGGGCGCCCCGGTCTAGGGAGGGCGCAGCTGCCTGGGCGTGCTCCAGGCCGTCCCCGGGGAGTGACTGTATGCGTAACCTACGTGACCGGGCGCCCTGCCGCTCGGCTACAGACAACCGCCGTCTCTCCCAAGAATGGCGCCCGGCGGGCGGGAACGCCGGAGCCCGACGGGCGGGGAAAGGGTTTCGTGCTTGGCCCCGACTCGGGCAGGCTCTTCTCCGCCCCTACGGCCCCTGCTCAGCCCCACCTCTGGCCCCGACCGGCACCATCGCGGCCGCCGCCTCCGGGGCGCCCCGGTCTAGGGAGGGCGCAGCTGCCTGGGCGTGCTCCAGGCCGTCCCCGGGGAGTGACTGTATGCGTAACCTACGTGACCGGGCGCCCTGCCGCTCGGCTACAGACAACCGCCGTCTCTCCCAAGAACAGCGGGCGGGCGTCGCTGCGCCCCGCCCCCAATCCGATCGGAATGGGGCGGGGCTGAGCGCCTTCAACGTTCCGGGCGCGCCCATTGGCTCCCACGAGTGCCGGCGCGCGTTGCGTCACCTAGGCTTCTCGCCGAGGGGCACGTACGGCTACGCGCTGACGCAGCGCTGCCCAGACAACCGAGGAACCGTGGAGGCATGGTGGAGTTCGGAGTCCGTGAGGGGCTCTCTCCTTAGGTCGTGCGGTGTAACAGCTAAAAAGCCTAAACTTAGTGCAGTTTAAGAGCTATCCCGGGTGCTGGACTCTTCTAGAGTACCCGTCACGTCGTCTCGGTTTCTCCTTGGTGTAAATACAGACAACTGTTATGTCGCTGAAAGATAGAGAGTATGGAATCATGGAACCCTCACGGGGTCTTTGGTTCGGAGGTTCCCAAAGTTAGGTTCGTCGAGAGAGTAATAGGGTCTGCTGGACCCTTTCATTGTTTCAGAAAGCCCTAGGAGGACCGGCCCGTGGCTCACTCGGGAGAGTGCGGTGCTGAGAACACCAAGGCCACGGGTTCGGATCCTATATAAGGATGGCCGGTTTGCTCACTGGCTGAGCGTGGTGCTGACAACACCAAGCCAGGGGCTGAGATCCCCTTACCGGTCATCTTTAAAAAAAAAAAAAAAAAAAAAGGGAAGAAAAAAAGAAAGCCTTAGGAGGTGGGAGGATTTACTCAAGATCACGCACACTTTCAAAAGCCAATTTTTTTTTGCTTAAAATTAACAACTTACATATATTATTGAGACAAGTACTCTCAAGTATAACTATTCGATTACTTCATTTAGTTTCTAGATCAGAACCATTCTTACGTGGAAAGTATTATTAACACTGTTTGCCAAGGAAGCTTGCCCAAGGTCATAGTAAATGGTGGCACTGGTTGGGAACTCTTAGCTAATGCTGTACTCATGGCTGAGTTGGGTCAATTGCATAGAGTAAATTATAAGTAGGTGCCGTTCATGGAGGCCAAGTGGTTCACAACTCTGTAAGTTAAGGGGTTGATCTCTCAATTGAGAATATTGAGATTCAGGGTTGATTAGGGATTTAAGGATGTGTTGTTGAGTTTCAGTTATGGCTGAGTGTAAAGGCTGATATTATGCTTCACCCAAAAGCCTTAAATATTTATTGTCCCTACCATATGCCAACCACTGCGGATTATGCAAGGGATGCAAAAACGAATGATATCTAGACCTGCTCCTTATCAGAGCTAAGAAGAGCGGATAAGGAACAAACCCACTTGATCAAACTAAGTCCAATAGTAGATGTGAACAACATAGAGGTGAGGCCATCACACAGCTGTAAATTGCAGTGCAATGTGTAGCATCCAGACTTCCTGGTTTCTAGAGCTCAAACCTAGTTCAACAACAGTTTTTTTTTTTTGATGCTCTGTGCTGGAAGCTTTGAGAATTATGTTTACTAGACATGGTCCCTGTCTTGGAAGACTTGCTATCTATAGGGGACATTTATCCATTAATTTATTTAACAGATAGTTCCTAGAAACATTATATGTTCCAGATAGTATGCTAAGAGGTTGGATGTACAATGAAGGGCCTCGCCTTTATGGAGCTTACATATTAGTGGAGTGAGATAGACAATAAACAAATGAACAAGCAAATAATTACAACTTGTAATAAATGCTATGGATGCAGTGATATAGAATAACATTGGAAGGGTATACTAGTTTTCTGTGGCTGCTATAACAAATTACCACAAACTGAGGGCCTTAAAACAACAGAAATTTATTCTCTTATAGTTTTGGAGACCAGTAGCTCAAAAATCAAGGTGTCAGCAGGACCACATTTCCTCTGGAAGCTTTAGAAGAGAATCTATTATTTGTCTTTTCCAGCTTCTGGTGGCCGTTGGCATCTCTTGACTTGTGGCTGCATCTCTCCAATAACTGTCTCCACGGTCACACTGCCTCCTCCTGTGCTATGTGTGTCCTCTCTGTGTCTCTTATAAGGAGACTTGTGATGACATTTAGGGTTCACTTGCATAATCAAGGAAATCTCTCCAAAGACCCTTTAACTAAATAAGGAAACATTTATATGTTCCAGGGAATTGGTATGGATATCTTGGTGGGGGAGCGCATTTTTTTGCTTACCATAAAGGGGGCTTGCACTATAATACAAACCAGTTTTTGATTAATGCTATAAGGAAGGCAAAAAGTACAACGAAAGTACAGGAAGAATCTAGGGGACATCTTAAGGCTTCTAACAATCTATTTGGGTCTCTGAAAAGTATGTTTTGACACTAAAGCTGAAGTAAAACCCACATTTCCCTGTTGTGTTTTCTTTCTACCCCTTATGATTATCTGAATTAATTAATTAATATGTTTGTCACGTGTCTTCAATCATTAGAAGGTAAATTCCATAAGGGCAAAGACTTTTCTGTGTTCATCATTGTATCCCATCCCCTACAGTAAAGCTGACAAGTAGTGGGTATTTTATAAATACATATTGTTGATTGAATGAAAGGCCCCTTGTCCTTTCAAGCTTACCACATCCAAAACATAACTTCTCCAAACCTCGGCCCTTTGCATCCCTCCGAATATCACTGATCTCACAGTACCTTCTGCTTTCTCACTTCCTGTAATAAGCAGCTCTAAAATGGCCTCCAGTGATCCCCATTTTCTGTCATGCATGTCCTTTTGCATAATCTTTTCCCTGTGTGTGTGGACTGTACCTAATGACTCATTTCCTGTGAATACAATGTGTCAAAAGTGCTGAGATGTCATTTCTGAGATTAGGTTACAAAAAGACTGCGGCTTCTTTCCTGCCTGCCTTCCTTCACTTCCTTGCTCTGGTTTTCTCCCACTCTTGCTGTCTTGCTCACTCTCTCACTGCTCTGTCTGCCTTCACTTTGAGGGAAGCAAGCTGCTGTGTTGTGACTAGCGCCATGGAGAGGCCCACATGGCAAAGAACTGATGTCTCCAACCAATAGTCAGTGAGGACATGAAGCCTGCCAACAGTCACATGAGTGGGCTTGGAGGTGAATTCTTCCCCAGTCAAGCCTTGAGGTGACTGCATCCCAGGTCCATGCTTTGATTGCAGCCTTGTGACTGACCCTGAATCAGAGGCACACATCTAAGTAACACCCTGATTTCCGACCCACATAGATAAATATTTATTGTAAACTGCTAAATTGGGGGGTAATTTTTAATATAGAAATAGATAACACATACACTCCTCATATCTAATCCATCACCCAGACTTATTCATTTTACCTAAATACTACTCAGATCTATATACCTTCCCTGTACTGTAGTCTCTACTCTGATTTACCTATGATCTTTTCTTCCCTGAAAAAGCCTCTTAATTCACACCACACTGGCCCTCTTTCAAATCATTCTCCACATTGTATTCAATCATCTTTATAAAGTGCAAATCCAATAATATCGGACTCCTGCTTTTTTGTCACTATAGGGCTCTGTAAGATCCAGCCCTTACCTTCCTCTTCAATGTCATTCTGAGTTATGGAGCCTTTTTCATTCAAGGCACATTGAGGTTTGTTGTTGTTGTTGTTGTTTTTAAGCTCATTTTCAACATATTCCCCTCTAATGTAAGACCTTTTCACTGCCTCTTGTGTGGATTAATTTTGCTCCCTTCTTTCCATGGTTAAGGCCTACACATCCTATAAATATAGAAGTTATATCAAGGGGTCCCCTCCTCAGGGAAGCCTTCTCTAATCTACCTGACTTGATAAGATCCCCTTGTATAGGTTCTCATAGCATCTTAGCACTTAACATTATTGAAATCATTATTTAAATTTTACATACGTTTGTAATGTTAGCCATCTCTATTGGACTATAGATTTCAAGAGAGTGGGGACCATGTCTGTTTTGTTTACTGTTGAATCCCGAGTGCTGCTATTCCAGTTCAACACTGTATCTGATATAATAAATAGTAATTGAATGAATGAGTGAAAGAGGGAGGAAGGAAGGGAGAAGGTGAAGGATGAACAGATTCTGAGAAGGCAGCCATAGGCTATAGTGTTGGAAAAACAAAAAGCAACTGAAAATACATTAAGGTAAAAGGGTGAATTAATAACTTCAATTTGTT